ATGCATATGAGATATGTATATGTTTACATATACGTATGTAAGATTTGTTCTTTCAAAATGTGTTATATTAACTTCTATGACAAAATAATCATTAAATAACAAAAAGTAAAAATTTTTATAATAATATTAGAGTGATTATTGATTAATGGATATGAACTTTTAATTTGCAGATGAATGAGAATCTGACAACAATGTGATCACAGTTAATATGTCGAAAAGAACGTATTACAAATTAATGTTGCAAATGTAAAAATACAAAAAAAAATAAACTGCAAGTACATAATTTTTGAGTTTTGATTTTTCAATTCTACAACACTTCATGGATTAAATTAAATACAAAAAGGCGAGTATTCTGATGCCTTACCTTTCAATTAATGCTGTAGTGCTTTAATTGCTATTTTTAAACATTTATTCAAAATTTATTTTATATTTTTTTAAATGTACAGAGAGAGAGAGAGAGAGAGAGAGAGAGAGAGAGAGAGAGAGGGAGAGAATCGGATATTTCATAACAATATATTTCTTCGAAAATGCATATTTGTATGAAAAAGATGCTATTTTGTCTTTTTTATTTATTTTTCTGTTATTTATAAATCACTTTTAGTTGTACAATAATTTTGAATGTGTACACAATATAATATGTAATAAAATCTAGATTCAAATTATAATAAATTTTTAATTTTCAGATTTAAGGTAAGTTTAAACAGTTCAAACATATCTTTAGTTCAGAAGGTTTAAACTATTAAATGATCTTGAGATTCAAACTGTCCGATCTATTCGATCACTTGACAATTCACAATCCTAATTTTAAAGACAAAAACACTTTTTCAAAAAAAATTTAATATTATACATATACAGGTATTTCTGTTAATATTTTAAAAATTAGAGAAATATTGAAAAAATATTTAATACAAAGTTTATGCTTTTTCATGAGCTACAACAATATGATAAGTGATTAAAATTGTTTTAAATGTTTTCCCCATCATTTTCTTATATAATTTTATTATAGTTAACAGACTTTTATAGTTAAAAGTCAAGACACAGAACAAAAAGTCAAAAATGCAAGACATCTGTCGTTTTGACACACTTGCGGTATGTTGGTGCAACATCTTGTACAGTTTGATTAAGTCAAATGAACTTTAACATGTTCGCATAATGCTATTGCGCTAAATGTATTTGAATTTCTAATGAACATTAGAATTTCCAGTGAACAATTTCAAGGTTCAAGTAATTAAATACAGACATATTATATATATCTTCAATAAACTGCCACCGCTTTCTTTTAAAGCGCGTTGTATTATCACTTCTGACCGTTGATAAATATTATATTAATAACGTCTCAAGAAGAATATATATATATCTCTCTCAAATTCTCACGATTTGTAATATTTATTAAATTACATGCTCATATTTATTGTCATTATCAATAAAAGTCTCTAGATAATTTTTGCAAAGGAGTGTGTTTATTAAATATTCGATGAAACCAGCAATATACGCGATTACTCGCACTGAAAATTCAGTAATATAATTAAAGGTACATGAGAATCCTTCTCTAAAATTTCATTATATATCATCATTATTTGCCATTTGAGACTACAGAGCATTTAATATAGCTGCGGATAATATGTGCAAAATCATCGATTTCCATTATCGATATACCGACATTAGTGACATAGTCTAAATAAAAATGGCGCTCTCTCTCTTTCTCTCTCTCTCTCTCTCTCTCTCTCTCTCTCTCTCTTTCTCTCTGATTTCAAAATGAATAAGTAATTTTTTATATGTAGCTTTGAATTGCCTAGCTGTTTATATTGTAACCGCTTTGCCTTTGAATGTAAAAATATAACTCGATATATGTATATGCGTAACAATTTACGAGATGAAACGTAGATCATGGACGTCAACTATATTGATCTATTCGAACTATTGACCTATGGCCGATTTTCTCCATGTCGATCAGGCTTTATCCCTCTTGCTCAAAACTGTACTTACTACTCCATTCATATATTCATATATACATCCACATGCTTATAAGTCACATTTCAATTAAATTAAATCACATTTCTTCTCGCAATTGGCAATAAGATTGCCGAAAGTTAAGAACGCTTTCGCGATCGACGTGATTTTTTTGAACAGAACAAAACGTCGAATAAAACGTACTTATTGAACAATTATTTTTATTCTAGACGCGATAAATAATTCATGGCAAGAAATAATTAAACAATAAATTGATTAAGTGCGCGCGATATTCGAACATTCCATCTCGATGATTGCGATTAATCGCGTACATCACGACGTCTGCAATCGTCTTTTTGCGACCGCGCTTTGACATGCAAGGTGACTAAGAGCTTCCGATGGTCACATGTAAATAATCTTGAACTGTCACGTACACATGCTGCGAGCAGTATCCGTGCATCTCGCGCCGCCATTTACAGGTCCGCTGATATGCGCTTGCTATCAATAAAGCGATGTGTTTGAAATTTCTAGATAATCACACAGAGATCCATTCATATAAGCCAAATAATCGTAACAAAACTGGAGCTATCAAAGTCCGATAATAAATTTTAAATAAGAAAATCTTGCGTTTGAAAGCTTATATACGAATTGATCTTCTTTTCTAATAAATATTTGATTAATTTTCCATTTTATTTCTTTTTATAAGTCAAAAAACTTATGCAGTTTATCATATATCGTTTAGTGTTTTATCGTATTAATAAATTTCTTTTTACTTATAATTATAAAAATAACATTTATATTTAATATTAATTATCATAATACTCAACAGTGAAATGTAAATTACGTTCTAAGAATTTAAAAAATATATATGCATATGGAAAAAATAAATCTTTTCCATTACGCAAAAATAATATTTAACAACTTTTTGAAAATACTAAAAAATGACTTAAAATGATTCTTAAGAAAACGTAACTGTAAAAAAGGTAAAAATAAAAATTTTCTCTACAAAATAGAATATTATTAATCTACGAGAATATTATTGATTTATATGCAGACCTTTATCGGAATAATTTGTATATTCAAAGAAGAATTAAAAAATTAGAAATACGAATTACGAAACAAAATTATAGAATAATTGTTTAAAATTCATACAAATATCAACAAAGATAATATTAATAAGTAATAGCATGTTATACAACATCAAAAATAATTGTAGATAGAGGAGCTTATACCTTGCGACAATTAATTGCTATTAATTAAATGGCTTAATTGTTATATTGATTGATCAAGTAGATTTATAATTAGCACAATTGATTGCGTTTGCCGATATCGGTATTGTATTAAATTTATAACTTCTATTAAAATGATTACAATCAATATAACAATTATCATAAATAATTAATTTTTAGTCGGGTCAAGTAAAAACAAATTTATTAAAAAACTTTGTTAAACAATGCATGATAAACCGCAATAGTAATAAACAATTCTGAAACATTATTTTAAGACAAGCTTTTATGGTTCTTCGAATGGAGAAATTGTAGAAATTGAATATTCCGAAAAATTAATAGATCGCATATCTTATTAAACGTATAACTTTTTATCTACAAATTTTTCAATTTTTAACATATTAATAAAATTTTTAAATAAAAACTTTAGATGTGAGCATCGATATCATGCTTTTTTTTAGAAAGTACGTACATATATGTATGCTGCTACTTTTTGCTGAACGAAGCATTTCCGCACCTCGAATCTGAGTAAACTATTTTTTTTTATTGTCAGAGATCTCAGAGATTGGTCCCGCATTTATATTTTTTGGCACAAAACGCGGAAAGGACGAATAACAATTTTTATTCGCAGTAGCATTACTGACGTACGCTTTGTGTGTAAATTCAATAATAAAAGCATTTAATAGTCATTATAAAAAATTATTTAATAGCGTGATTGTGTGTGTACGCGCACGTATTTCATTTCTCTAACTTTTCAAATAAAATTGTATGACATATAAACATAAAGTCTTTTTCTCGAATGTTCTACTTATGTTGTTCTGTTATGATAATGGAAAAGTACGTAACTGAAAACGACTTGTTACTTTTTAAATAACTCTAACATGTTTTTTAGAATTAGTAACTTGTAATGATAACTATTTACTTTTTGCAAACAAAAAACTATAAATGCAATTAGTTACTTTTACAAAGTAACTTTTTGAATCTCGCATATATTTAAATAAAGAACATATAAGTTATTAACTTGATAGCACTAAATAACGAAAATCAACTGTCACATTTGCAATGATCCAAAACAGGTAAGTTAAATTAACATAGCATAGATAAAACTTTAAAAAATTATGTTGCATTAGCTAGGTCTAAATAATTTAGAAGTTCGATCTAATTTAAGCTTTTGTTTATTTCATAATTTGCAATACATTAAGTTTAATGCTTATAAAGTCCTCTTGAAATATGCTCCGTCAACACACGAGTCCTATAAAATTAATAACACGTAAATACAAAAATCAGTTCTTCTTTACAATAATAATCTACAAAATATTTCTATTTAAACATTAAAATATCTTATTCGGATTCTATTGTTTACATATAATATAATAACATTTAAAAAGAGATTTATTTGATAGAATATTCTTTTTCTCTCTTTTTCTCATAAATTTTTTATATTTTATAACAAAATAGAGTAAAATATATTAATATGAAAATTTCTTATATTTCATTTATATGTCAATTTGCAATAAAATTAATAGATAACTATTAATTAATATTAAATTACAAACATATTAAAATTTGATATTAATGCAAATAATTCTTAATGTCAAAAAATTTGTAAATACAAATATACCTTTAATTTTTGGACATGGACCTATTACAGCATCCGCATCGGGTTCAGCAGTTGCATATACTGCAGGCATTATTGTAACTGTTAGCGTGAAAACTGCTGCCAAGAACAAACGAAATGTTATTGGATTCATAATTATACGCTATTTCAATATAGTTTTTAGAAGAACTGATTTTTCTCTAAGATCTGCGTAGTATATATACCAAAAATATACATAAAAAAATTTTAATGGAACAAAGTAAAAATATTATCAGCATGATATTTTTGCGTTATAATCAAGAATCGTGAAAAATAAAACCGCATTATATATGTTTGAAGGAATTATAAAAAATTGATTGCTCATATAAATGCCACGACGGAAAAATATATCTAAATATATAATCTAAAACAAATATAAGAAATTATAGTGTTATTTTTGAAAATAATAAAAGCTATTGTATGTAGCTATTTTAGCAATAATTTTTATATTTAGAGCAATATCCTGCAATTATTTATATATGTTTCGTTAAAATGTAATATTCTATAATTGTTTATTAAAGGTATAAAATATAATTAATATAAATTATTAGAAAATTTACTATTTATTTTTGTATTGTGCATTTTTCGTTCGTATTACATTTATGTTTTATTAATTAAGTTAACAGTTTTTAATTAATCATGTTTTATTAATTAATTTGCAACTTTATATTATAATCATATTTTATTAATTATTTATCTAATATAAAATTATTATAGAATATAAATACATTACAAAATATTGATAATTAAGTTTAAATATTTTTGTTAATTTTTTCTTTTCACTATTATATACATATAAATTGCTTTTTATTCATGCTGATTTAAAAATTCAAAAAGTAAAACGTAAAAGTTTTTTACTTTAATGTTATATAAAGCAAATTAATTTGACAAAATAATTAGCTTTAATTATATATCAATAACAGTATTAATCACAGATGTACGTTGTAATCTATATTCAACTAAAAAAATCTGTAATTGCTTTTGATAAACAATAATTAATAATTAATTTTGTGTTGTAAGACAGGAATCACGAAACACCTAAAATGTGGATTAAATGGCAGCTGATATCAAGGGCCGCACAAGCGAAATCACATCTTCATGACGCTGGCCGATAAAGTTGGCTAGCGGACTTACTTATACGTGACAGTGATCGTCAAATTGTTAAATTTCATCCTTTTAACTAAAAAAAGAATGCAAGGGATTTAAGATAAATCTCTTTAATTCATAATAATTTAATTGGTATTTTCCGCTCGCGATATTCTCATCAATGATGATGATAA